CAGCTGCCTTAGCTGCAGGTTTTTTTATATCTTCTTTCCTTTATTGCAGTCCTCTCTTGCTTTATGCTGCAGAGCAGGATGTTGAGCTTCAACAGGCAAGTCCCCTTTACTGCTTGAGCCTGAGCAGAGTGGAACAAATGTCGTATGTGTCTGTCAGAATTGTGGATAAAGGGATCTCCTTTGCGTTGGAGTAAAAAACCACAAATTAACATGGCATGCTTTACTTCATGTTTTAAGTTAAGAGCTCATAGATTAAAAATTACTACTGTGGATATAGCCTTCTTTGGTTCTTTTTTCAGTAGGTCCTGCAAAATGGAGGCTGCAATGTTCTAAAAGGTACTAGAAAATGAAATGCAAGCATTGATAGTTTGCTAAATAGTCAAATATTACATGAATGGCAAAGAGAAAAGATGACCAACATAAAGGAGCCTGGCTACCTTGTAAGATGTGTGTAGAGAAACTGCATTTTTAATATAGCTAAAGTGTGAATTTACATATTCAGGAGCAAGAGTCTAGCTCATATGTAGGGAATAAAGTACCTTAAGAAGTATGAAATCGAGAATAAAACATAAAAGTTGAAGAATCATTTTATTATTTATTTTTAATACCAGCAAGTATAAAACAGTTTCTAGGTACAGGGGAGTCTCTACTCAGTAATTATGATATTTCTCTATTGATTTTTACCAAGCTTAAATACTGTATGCAGCCTGTGGAGCAATAGCTTAAAAAGAATGTGTTGCAGGCACACTGAAACCAAAATTTTGATAATGGAAACGTCTATTCAGAAGACAAAAATCTAATAGCTAGAAGCCGAAGCTAGACAAATTAAGAGTAAAATAAATAATCTTGCCTTCCTTTTTAATAGGATACTTAGCGTGAATTATGGCAGTTCATAAGAAATTCTTCATCATCAGATAAATAAATGTTTCAGACTTTGAGAGGTTAGAAATTGTCAACTGTAATTCTGGTAGATAGCAGCTGTCAGCTTCTGCTTATAAATAGTATCGAGTGCTCTAGTGTTTGTGAGGACAGGAGAAATCCATAGCCAAAAAATGAAAATCATAAGGCGGAAGCTGTAGAATTGGCTCTGAAGTTGTGATACAAAAATTAAATAATACACTTCCTGAAATTCAATCACTGAGCTATATTAAATGAGCTTCACAGATTTTGTTAGAATTTTTCAGTTTTCATTTATCAGTAAGCTACCTTTTTCAAATTCTAAAAATTCTAAAGACTCATGTCTCTTAATATTTAATAATTTCAATTAGGTGATTTAAGTAATTTATTTAGCTTATTCCCATTCAGTATTAATTGTATCTTGTTGATTTGATAGCTGCATTATATCCATCTAGTTTTGTGTAATCTTGTTAATTATAACTTTAGTGCCTTTTTTTTCTCTTTAATGTGATCAATTCATTACTAAATCTAATTTATTTTAGCAAATGACTTCAAAACTGTTTAAAATGGATGAATAGATGTGTACCGTGTTGTCAGTATAAAAGTAGCTCTCCTTATTGGGCTTTTCTTAGCTACTTTTAATGTAACTGGCTCACGTGGTTTGCAGAAGATACCTGATTTTGATTTTTTTTTTTCTGTTTTTTACAGTTATCTCTTCTTGGGTAACTTTGTAGCTGAAGCTGGACCTAAAAGTGACTTAATATTCCCTCTCTTGTGCTGCAGTAGAAGAGCTTGCTTTGTGCATCTGCTGTTTCGTGATTCAGTTGTGCCTCCGCTGTTTTAATGATTCATTTTTAACATGTGAACATTTTAGTGAAATTACCACTCTGCAGATGATACTTAGATCAGGATTTCCTTTTTGTCAAACAGCCTGATAGAGATGGAGGGCGGATAAAACTAATCTGTTTAGACTTAATCTTGATAAGACATGCAGCGTTTTCGTGCTGGTAGAAAGCCTGTAGTGAAATGTGTACTGTATGTGTATTTAGTTTTTATTAGTGGAGAGGGTGCCAAGTTCCTAGCTTGACGGTTACGGTTTCTAATCATCATAGGTTCTTTTGCTGGTCCAAGGTTTTCATGTGTTGTCATGCGCATTAAAAAAAAAAAAAAAAAAAAAAAAAAATTGGCCATTTTGTGTTCTTCATTGATCAAGAAGTTGGCCATTAAGACACATTTTTACTACTATTATTTACATTTTTGTTTCTTTAAATGTAGATTGTAGCAGAATATACTACTGTAGTATGAATTTACACCATGGTTACTCCAAGTGATGAGCACCCAATATGAAAACATACATTAGTGTACTTTGAATACCTGGTATCTCAGATTTCCAGCAAGTTATTGCCATCTCCCTGGTACATCATTCTCCCATGCATGAAAGAAGTATGTCATGCCACAGCAAATGGAGCAGCTGTGTGATTATTTCTCAGTGTATTTCTGAAGTGTTCATCTGTCTGGACAGATGGGAGAAGTGTGGAAGGAAGAAGAGGAGGACTGTCCACTTCTGAAAAATGTCACTACTGAGCTGTAAGCTCAGAGGATGTTGGGTTTTGGTTTTAGCTTGCTTTCAGCTGTGCTTCCTAGTCTGGGTTGTGAGTATCATCTGGCTGAAGTAAGAAAGTGGGTGCAGGTGGGTGGGTTTGAAGCTCAGCTAACATCTAGGCTAAAAGTCTCTGGATCTGCAATATCCTGACTTAAAAACTTCAGTTGTGATATAGTGTTGGGGTGGTGGTTTGGTCTGGTGGGACGGATGATAATTAGTGTCCTTAATCTGTGAGCTGAATTGGGTGTGCATTTATTTTAAATGGATTTCAAATTATTAGTTGTAGTTCTGTAAAATCTGAAATAGTCCTTTATACTGGTAATCAGACAGTTTACTTGTGTTTGTCACTGAGGGGAGGTAGATTAGCGTACTACTTCTGTTGATTCCAGTCTTTCAGCGGCCAGAAGCACTCCAGTATTTCCATGGGACTGTCAGCTTTCAAATTGATCAGATATTCATACATAGCCTATGTTGTATGTGATCAGTTGGCCAAAAGGTGAAGCTGTTTGGTGATGCCACAGGTTGTAGCAGACATAAAAAAAAATTGAGAGGAGCAGATGGCCAAAGTTTCATCAATACTCTTCTGCATTGGAGACTCTTTTATAATGAAGAAGAATTTTGATTAAAGCAAATGTGGGTGTCTGGGCTTTTCGGTCTGCTTGCTACATTGTTGCAATGAAGAATAGAGTGTTACTTTTAAGATGGACAGGCACAAGTTTTCAGATGGGTTTTTTTAGAAGAATGTGTAGTTTTGCATAACAGGTCGGTATTTTGGAACCTTGTGAGTCGTTCACACACTTTTCTACAGGTTTGCAGTTTATCATTGGATGCTTACTGGAATGTGTTAGAATATTAATGTATATTTTAAATGCATATTTTAATATCAGTGTTAGGAGATTATTTGTGCAGTTCAGATCCACTGTTACGTTGCACATTTGTAGAACCACTGGGATATACTATGTTACTTACGTTTTTTGAGGTGAATAATATAAATCATCATCACACTTTTCAAAAGTTAATCATAGAAAGAATTGTACATCTTTTGAAAGTTATTTGTTGTATGTCTGTGGGATGGCTGTTGGTTTGTGGGGTTTTTTAAGCTTTTCACCAGTATACTGCATTAAACAGGTGAACCATTTTTATAAAAGACAACAAACACATGGCTGAAAAATTGAGAGGGAATGGAGATAAGTATTACACTTGTGTCTTACAAACAGCTGCACATTGGTTTCCTTTCCAAACATTAACAAAGCCAACTTACACTTTTTATGCTGTGGTTTTGATTCTGTGGAAGTGAAGAAGTGATTGCTTTTTGGATTCTGCTAATATAAGGAAATATTACATGATCAGGGTCAGTGTTGCAATTGTTTTTAAACAGGTGCTCAGTCCATTTATGCCCCTCTCAAATAAAATCGCGGCCCTGCTATGTCTGAAGACATGTTAGGAATTGCCATTTCTTAGTAAGATTTAGGGAAATCTCTTCCCTGTAGTATGGTAGGAGGGGGAAGAAGAAAGGAACACAGCAGATAACTATTTGCTATCATATCACGTGAAGGGAACACGGTGTTACACAAGGTTGCGGTGACAGAGAGGGGAAGATCTGTGTTAACTCTTTAAGTCCTTCCCCCTTCCTTTTCTCACAGCAGATTTGTGCCTGGGGTTAAAAATTGGACAGTTACCCTGACAATGTGGACAGATTGTTTTGAGACAGTGTTGTAGATTTATTCCCAGGCTATCTTACAAGAGCTATATAACATGGTTGTGAGTGGAAAAAAAGCTCCCTGTTTATTATGGAGGCTGAACTAACTACAGTTCCATTATGGGTATTACCATCATGATGGTTTCATTAGTGGTGTGTACATTTGAGAATCTTGATCTAGTAGTAAATTTAAATTGGTTGTTGCTGTGCAAAGCTGCAGACACTTATGTTAGTGGAGGTCTGAACTTCGATATAGATTTTCTAATCCTGGGGTTGGCTGCAGATAATTACTTCTTTGGTGGTGAAAATAATGGGCAACATAATAGGAGATCTGCAGGAAGGCAGAGGTGCATTAGTACTACTCTAGCAACTTTTATGATATATAACATAGGCCTGAAGGTTATTGAAAACTAAACAAATCTTGCTTGCTTATGTATGCGCGCAATACTACCTGCAGTATGCTAGCCACTGGAGTCTAACGGATATGATATGACAACTGAAAAAAATTGACAGAGGAAAATGTTTTAAAGAAAAAACCCCTCTGGTTTAGTGTTCTGAAGAAAAGGATCAAATACCTCTGCCTTTATTGAAGGTTCAAGAGCTTATAATGTACATCCTTAGCAATATGCCTTTGATCTTTTTTGATTTTGGAGGGTCTGAGGTGTCATTTTTATGTTTATAGTTGGGGAAAACATAGGACAGAAATAAATTTAAAAATTCCTTTACAGGTGTAAAATATCTGCCAGGTAGAATTGCTGTTTGAGAAGATGCTCATAGTTTGTGTTTGATGTGCATTTACAGTGTCCATATATGGGATTTGGTTTTATGATAAGGAAGAATGCCAAAGAATTGCAGAGCTCATGAAAAAGTAAGTGATGGGTAAACAAGACTTTTTGTGCTTTTTTTGATGTATGTATTTCTGTACATACATGCACATTATATTACTAGGTTGGTCATACTTTTCTACTTTAAACCTACTTTTATAGACTTTGTTGCAAGTAAAATTGTCATGCACCTGCATTTGGTATAATCAGAAATGTCACTGTATTGCAATACTTTTCATAATATGCTGCACAGCTTTCCATCTACATCAGAGTGTAACAGTTCATCTGATTTATTTCCTGATGACTCAGAGATCTGTTTTGAACAATTGTATTCTTTGGGGTTTTAATATTCAGTTTGGGGAGATTTTTCAGTGTTGCTGTTACTTTTTTTTCCTGTGTCAATGTAAGTGCAGGCTATCATGAAGGCATACTCTAATAATACAATTTCTGTGGGTTTTATCCTGTTTCTACATCATGGCTGAATTCCTGCTTCCTCATTTCTTAGTGATATGTACAAAATTCACTTTGTTTTTGGAATATAAAGCAGGACTCTAATTAGCTTTTATTTAATTACTTTTATGTACATATTATTATTTTATACATGTTATACAACCTTTAATTTTGCATTCAAGTCAGAGGTTAGAATTTCAAACAGAACTGTATTCTCAGCTGTATTTTAATCTAACTATATCATGGATAGTTTTTTCCACTGTCACTGCTTTCTTCACATGTCCAGGATGGCCAGGGCTCATTCTTCTGCTCTACCCTCTGGTTGGCCTAATGATGGGCTTGTTTACCATGATCCCTTTCTTATGACTATATTCTAGAGGTTTTCATATTTGTTTGGAGGAGGAAGGAGCAGAAGTCTTACAGATGTTTATCAACATATGCAATCTAAAATTTTTAGAGGTATAATGTGGATGATACAGTGAAGGGCAGAGATTGGATGGTTGCCAGCAGTATATAGGATGGGACATATCATTGTGTCACAATTCTTTTAAGGGTCAAGAGGAGTGATGATGTAGAGCCAGGCCTTTGTCATCCCAGGAAAAGCCATGGGAGGCAGATACAGGCAAGCCAACAGCATTAGGTACTAACAGAGTGCAATGCAAAGGCACTGTGAGACCTGTGAATCTCTCCTTTTCAGGTCATCTGTCCCGGTCTTAGCAGCTTCTGTAGCCAGAAGCATGCTGAGGAAGCGACATCAGTTTTGATTGCCAAAGTTACCAAGTGCCCAAAAACCCATTTATGTGCCCTGCAGTACAAGTCCAAACAGGGCTTATCCTCGCACATCTCAATTCATAGCAAAGTGTTTTATCTCTTCCACCACTATGTTCCAGATAGGATTTGTTATAAAATGCTGGATGAGAAGGTAGTCGTGTTTCCGCTATATCTCCTTTTAAAGTAATACCTGCTGCTTTTCATTTTTCAGTGACAAAACATGGTGAAATACAGACTGTGACAATGGTAGGGGTTTGTTTAGGAGTTTTTTTATTGGTTTTGCTATATATTCTACAGGTCTAAAATGAGTCAGTTGTGACCCAAGAAATAATTGATGGGGATGAATTTATAGAAATAAGGAATGAACCCTAGGAAGTCCAGGTTTTTGACAGCTAATTTTAGTTAACTAGCTCAAGTTTCAGTTGGTGGTGATTAGCTACTCTCAAACTGGTAATTTACTACAATAAAAACTAGTTTTCAGAGGATTCATGCAATTGTAAATCACGTGTAGTGGTTTATAATAGCAGTGTTGCATATAGATAAAAAATACCCTGTTGCTCAGCCAGTTGGCTGTGTGTTTTAATTCACAGCATTCTACAGTAATAATAAAACAGCTGGGGCAGGAAATTGGTCATTTGCTAGTAGTTAATGACTGATTTGTGTTTGTTTGCCATCCTCCACCACCAGCAGAACTGAATAACACTATAAATTCCCTGCTCCTTCTGGGTATAGAAATTGTGACTGAGTTACGGAAATTTTAGTCTATGGCTTAGTATATCCAAGATGGGAGAAAATTAATCTCATGCCTGGTCAAATTATGTTTTAATGTAGATCTGTTAATAGATTTTTTTTTTACACGTTTTAATGTAGATGGGGGAAAAATTAAAATATTTGAGTTTTGATTAATTATTGTTAAGTATTTGTGGTTAAACTTTGTATATTTTATCTAGTTTTTGTCTTGTATATTCTCCTCTCACCTCCAACTTTCAGCCTAACTCAGCAGGTTTTTTTTTAAAGCACAGCAGGGCACAGGAGCAGGAGTGTCCCCAATGATCATGAATTCTGCTAATAACAAAGAAGTGGATATCTTACGAATGCTTACCAAGGCCAAAGATGAGTATACCAAGGTGAGACTTGCTGTCTATAAAAAGAGGATATTTGGTTTTGGTGATACTATGATGCCATCTTGCTCACACTTTACATTTTAAAACATAAAAGGTTTGGCTTGGTTTGGTTTTTAAATAGCTTTACTCAAAATGAAACTGATTTCGGACAGTGTGCTCTCTCTCTCATTTTGTGTAGAGGTGGCTGGTAGAAATTTTTTGTCAGACTTTCCTAAAGATTCAAAAGAAATTAATGCTATCAATAAAAACTTCTGAAAGGAGAGCATGTATATGATTATTTGTTGCATGCTAGGGGGTAAGAACAAATATAAATTGGCTTTCATTTTGACCCTTGGAGCTCCTGTGCTTATTGTTTATTCAGTAGCACCTGGAAGTTGTGTCCTCTTTCTGGGTGGAGTATTCAAACCTGCTAATAGTTTCTGTGGTTTGTACAGATAACTTCCTTCAGAGAAGACCTTTAGCAGTGAACTTACTGCTTTTAATTCTGGTTGTTAGCTACTTTCAAACACTAATGGAAGGAAATTAAAAGGTTGAAATGTAGTATGATTTCAGCCCATGTGCTGGTTTGGTCTTCTGAGGCTTCTAAATAAAGAAGTAACTAATGGACTAATAATGTTCTGTGTTATTGAGCAATCAAAAACATTTTACTTTGGGGAATAAAAATCTAATAATTTTAACTATTCATATATACGCTGCAAATTGCTGCAGAACCTGCAGGTTCCTACTGCTGTTTCCTGTATTTTGTATGTGTTGTCATGCAGTAATAAAGCTCATAAGTGTTCTGAGTCTACAAATACATATATCTTAAACATAAGCAATTTAAAGAGAGAAAAGTTATTTTTCTGAAATGTGGCTACTAATAAGATCCTCAGAAAGATAATAGCAAACTGAGTTATGCTGTATTGTAGCCCTTCTTGTTGTGGTATGGCTTCTTTTGAAGCTTAGGACCTTCATATTTTCTGTAATAGAGGTTTAATGTAATAGACAAACACGTTCAAAACCTGGTACCTTTTCTATGTTTTAATACTGAATCAATATCTAGTCTTGTCATAAAAGAGTGTGATTTGATGTATTATGAAATGTTTAAGCAGTTTTCGTTAAATAACCTCAGAAATACTGTAAATTGAAAACTGGAAAAATATTAGGCTGTCTTCAGATTTTATGAGAAGGAGGTAATAAATCTTTTAAAAAGTTACCTTCCTTTTCTAGATGAGCACACAGAAAAATCAAGACAAAGGAGAGGAAATTCTAAAAAACCTGTTGTTTAAATAAAAGTGTTTGATTTTTTTTTTTCCCTGCAGATAAGATCATTTGCAGGTTTGCTTCTTACTTTAATCTTTCTGAATTTAAGCGATTGCTAAGGAAATAACATGAAAACTTCCTTTTCATCTAGGACATGAGTACTAGGAGTATCTGACCTATTAAGAACTGGCTATATGTTTTTTTAGTAATATAAAATTAGAAAGGGTGTGATAAATAATAATGGTGACAACCATTTTTGTGTTTAATGTCAATATTTTTCACAGCAGTCATGCTTTTTTGGCTGCTTTATGACATCTACATCCTTCCCAGTGTGTGTCTTGTGACTTACAATACTGATGAGCTGAAATCAGTTATGAAATATGTTGTTCTCCTTTTTAAATTCTGTGTGGTTTTAGAGAAGAGAGTGTTTTGAAGTGTTGGGAGCTGCAGAATAAGAATATAAATTTTCAAAGCTTCTAAGGAATTTTGCTCAATTTTTAAGTCCTAGGATAAATTTATTTTTTTAAGAGTGTAACTGACTTTGAAGGGTATATCTCATTCCCAAATTAAGTTACACATTTAGAGTTTACATGAAAAATAAAGTACATAGCCTCCCTCCTCCTTTTTTCTTTTATTAACGAAGCTTTAAGTTGCTGAACCACTAAAGTATTTTTTGAAAAATGTACTTCTAATGCACACTTACCTTTTCTTGATCTCTGGTAAGAAGTGGTATCAGCAGGCCTCATAATGATAGCTAGGGAGATAAACAGTTGAATTGCTGCTAGGCTACAGAATGAAGCATGACAAAATGTTTTTTCTCTTTACCCGCTGTGCCTTGTCTTATACTGCAAGACAAGTTCTGGTTTTAGCTCTGTGCTGCACAGTTCTTCTACAGCATCTACCTATTTACTACACTCTCTTTGATCTATTAAAGGTCAGATTAGGTGGACATCCTTTGTCTGGTTGATGTGCTCCAAATAACTGCAGCTTCCTTCTTCGTTACATGCAACCATTTGATAAGAACATAATTTCTGGTAACAAAGAAGCGTCTGTTTTTTAACTGCTTCTTCACTGTCTTTCAGAAGAATATTCCAATGGTATTGTCCTGCCCAAACAGGAATATAGTTTCTAAGTTTTCGGGTGCTTTAGCTTTTGATTTGTTAATTGTGTGAAAGACTTGATAGTAGAAGGCCTAGCTTTCCTGAGGGCACTGTGCCATACTCAGCATGGATGATGCTGAGTCTCCGCTACTATTCTTAAATAGGCTGAATTGGTTCTGTATGTCTCATTTAAGCAGGGCTCTGACTGGAAATCCTTTCTGCTGCTGCTCTTCTTTGAGACAGTTCTTGTCCTCCTTAGCCCCTCTCTTCTTCTGCAGAGCACCTGGTCTACCTTCATGTGACTCTTCAGTAATGTCACCTTGTGGCTGTTTTATATCAGCTAGGTAGAAATCCCCAGTTTCCAGGGCTTTTTAGCTCTGTGCTCGAGCTCTGACAACTTCAAAACTTCATCACTTTCAGCATAGCCATCTATCTACAAAGCTCCCAAAGTTCCATCAGGTCCTGGCTGGCCTTGTATCATTGTATCAGACCTTCTAGCATCTCCTCCTTCTGCTTGTAGGTCTTTGCAGCTCACATGTCTCAAAGTCAGGTTTTTGCTGCAGAACATGAGATTGGGATGTGACATGGTATTTGCTTCAGGAGAACTGCAATACTGAGGTACCATGCTTGTTCATTGTTTCCTTTGACAATGTTCTGTTAAGCTTGAGCTATGTGTTGTACAGACAGGCTATGAAATCTCACAACACAGAGCAGTTGTTTGCCTCAAATGTCTCTGACTATACCAAACTTGTCTAAAACATCCTAACTGGTACTCATGTTCCTTTCGATTGACAGTCACCACATATGTCTGGGTGGTTTTTTCCAGTGTAGCTTAGCATTTCTTTGACTTGATCTTAGAACTTTTTTGATTTCTTATGCATCTTTTGTAGGAGCATAGCTTTGAACAAGACACATGGCTAAAGGACAGACCTGTGAAGCAAGATGTAGTAATTGTCAGATGTCGTAGCTGATGAGTACTCTTCTGGTTCTATCACTAAAGAGCATGGTGACATTTCTTTCATGCTGCTTTTTGCTGTTTGATGATGATGGCATCTGATATCATCTTTAGCTGTCCACCTGACAGTTGCTTAAAATGTCATGCTGATGCTCCTAATTTACTCATCAGCAAGGCCATGCTACCCATCTGCCAAAATGACCTTATATTCTGAGCTCTAGTAGTTACAGATTCCTTTGAAATCATCACAGGCTTTTTTTCTCTTCAGCATACTTCCCTGTATTTGATACCAGCCTATTAGCCATGTTACTAAATCACAGGAATGATACCAAGTCAAGTCAATGTCATTCTCTATAGGCTTTTGTGTATACTTTGTGTATTCCTCATTTTGCTGAGGAATTTGGTCTGGAAAAAAAAAAATTACTCAAATTCAAGGATAACAATATGTAAGCTTGAAAGAACCTAAGAAAACAATTTCTTTGAGCAGTGTATTGATAAATGTAATTCAGAGCTAATAAATGGAAACAGAACTTTTCCTTAGGGTAAAATCTTTAATAGTTATGTTAGTGTTGTAGGCGTGTCTTCTGAACTTATTTTTTGTGGCTTCTTTCTGTTATGTTTTCTCATAGCAATCCATTCATGACTATTTTAAATATTAATTGCAAAGCAAAACTGAAATCAGTTAAGTGTAGATTTCTGTCAAGTGCTTCCATTAATCAAGCTTTGAATCATAGAGAAGGGACGTAAGTATGGACTAGCTTTAAAGGAAAGCTGTTTTGCTTACCGTGAGTAGTCTTTGGACTTAGCTCTTTATTTGAATTTTGCAACATCTTTAGTCATCAAACTTGCACTGCATTGTGAGATGGGTAGAACAACGCTGGGTGAATGAGATACCACATCTAGTAAAATTATTTCTTTGATTTTTTTTTTTCCAGAGGGGGCAAAAAATGTAGCTGAGTTTTAATATATCATAGAATGGTTAGGGTTGGAAAGGACCATCTAGTTCAAACCCCACTGCTAGGGGCAGGGACATCTCCCACTAGAGCAGGTTGCTCAAATATTTACATGTTGAATGTAGCCTGCTCAGATTAGCCATGAGGCACTTGCTATGTGGTTTTATATTTAACTGAAATTCAATTTTTATGTAAAACTCTGCATTATTGGCAAAGTCAGTACTTTGTTCTTCATGTTTTTCCCAATCTAGTGTTTGAGGAAGTTTCTCACTTTATGCAGTAGGGGTATAGCAGGAAAGAAGAGACAAATGCTTGTTCTTTCTTCAAACTGGATAGCTAACCACTCTATGGCATGATTGTGCATGCTTTAAAGTTATTTCTGAGAGCAGCATTTGAACCATAAAAGTCGTACAATAGAAGAAAGCCAGGTACATGAGCATATCTACACTTCTACTTTGCAAGATCATGTCTTCAGAAATTCATTGCAGAAGTCCTTGACTGTCCAAACACCCACATATTTTTCAGCAGACACTCAGAAAATCATTGAGATTTTAAGGGACTTCTGGAGGCAGTCTAGTCCAACCTCCCTGTTTACAGCAGTATTGGCTAATGTGGATTGCTCAGAGCCATGTTAAGTCAGGTTTTAAATATCTCCATGGATGGAGACTCCACAACCTCACTGGCCTACCTGTTCCAGTATTCAAACATCTCTGAAGTAAAAAAGTTTTTTTTCTGAAGTTTAAACAAGACTTTGTAATGTTCTGGTTTTTGCCTTTTGCCTCTTGTCTTCACTGGGCACTGCTGCAAAGAGTCTGGCGTGGTCTTCTTTACTTCCTCCCATCAGGTATTTATACACATTGATATAATATCCTGAGCCTTCTCTTCTGGAGACTAAGCCTCCCCTTGCTTGACAGGTGCCTAAATCAACTTCGTAGACTTTCAGTGAGCTCACTTATGCATGTCTGCATCTTTCTTGTGCTGGGAAGCCCAGAACTGGATGTAGCACTGCAGTACTCAGTAGAGGGGTCTAACCAGTGGTCTCACCAGTGCTCTGGAGAGGTCAGCATCCCTTGGTTGGCTGGCAATGCTCTACCTAATGGTATCCAGGATGCTGTTGGCCTTCTTTTGCTGATGCGTATTGAACTTCTTGTCCACCCAGGTCCATTTCTGCAAAGCTTCTCTTCAGTCAGTCAGCACCAACCTGTACTTCATGGAGTTATTCTTCCTCAGTTTCCCTTTGAAGTTCATGTTTCTGTCAGCCCATTTCTCCAGCCTGTCAAGGTCCTTCTGAATGGCAGCACAACCATCTTGTCTATTAACTATATGCCCCAGCTTTATATTGTCTGCAAGCCTGCTCTGCCCTGTCATTCAGGTCATTAATGAAGATGTCAAACAGTATTGACCCCAATGTCAAACTCTGGGGTACACCACTAATGACTGGTCCCCAGTTGGACATCATGCCAACAATATTTTAAGTCCGGCAGATCAGACAGGTTTTCTATCCGTCTCATTGTCCACTTACCTAGTCTGCATTTCATTACTTTGTCTTTGAGGTTGTTATGGGAGATAGTGTCAAAAGCTTTGCAAAAGTCAAGATAAACAATATCCACTGCTCTCCCATCGTCCACTCGGCAAGTCTTCTGACTATAAAGGGCTATGGGGTTGATCAAGCATGATCTCCCCTTTGTAAATCCATGCTGGCTACTCCCAATCATTTTCTTGTCCTTAATATGTTTAGAAATGGCTTCCAGCAGGAAGCCATTTGTTTCATCACCTTCCCAGGGTTTGAGGTGAGGCAAACCAGCCTGAAGTTCCCCAAATCCTCCTTCTTGCCCTCCCTGGAGATAGTACTAATATCTCCAGTCCTTGGGAGCCTCCCTCAATTGCCATTACCTTTCAGAAACAAAGTGGTTTCACAGTGAGGGATGCAGCTCTCTCAGCTCTCATGAGTGCATCCCATTGGGTCCCATGGACCTGTGTATGTCCATTTTGTTTACATGCTAACAACATGTTAACCTGATCCTCCGTTACCAAGGATAAGTCTTTACCACTCCAGACTTTCCCACCAGCCTCAGGGGCCTGGGATTCCCGAGGACCAACATTGCAAAGAAGGCACCAGTACCTCCTAAGAGCCCTTTGAGTCCCCTTGAGAACTCAAGTTCTGTTTTAGCGAGAAGCCCTGGAACCGATGTGTGTTTGTTTACTGTTGTGGTAGGTGTCAGAAATTGATTAAATGATCAGTTTTGTATATTTGGGAGTGGGGGTTATTTTCTCACCTAACATATTTGCATCTAGAAGGGACACTGATTTTTTCGTAATAGCACAGCAGTGGGTTGTTGTGTGTCCATATGGCTGGCTGTCCAGTCCAGAGTTCTGTTCCCAGTAATGCACAAGACTGGGCTTTTGGGAGGAAAGAATGAGAAACCAAAATCGATTCTTCCTTACCTAGCCATTAGTCCTGTGGCATAAAAATTAGAGCCCATCAAATTCAGGTAATTAACTACAAATATTCTTGTTAGATAGGATTAACTTTTTGTTAGATAATTCTTTAAAAAAATATTTCCAGTTTCTTGCTTTCAATCGTATCAACTGGCAACGACTTCCAACATACTGTTTTCTAGTGACAATAGCATTCCTTTGTATATCCAATGCTTTCTTAGTTTCGTTGACTGTAGTCTTATTTTTTGTTCAATGTAAATAAGACTATCTTATTCACCTTTTGCTATTCCATTTTATATTTCTCTTTTATGCAGCATTTTCTGTGTATTTTTTCTGAATTAAATCATGCCCTTCTCTCCTCATATGAGTCATTCCATGTCCCTGATCACTTTTAGTTATATCTCTGCACATCTTTTTATAAATATTGTTATTAATCCTGTCATATTTAATAAGAAAACACGCTGATTCTACAAATTGATTAAATCTTTAATTATTTTTCCCATGTGAGTATGTGCATCTTCCCAGTTCCCGCAATGTGGAATATTTATGTAAAAGAGATAATTCCAGTTTTTGACAAAAAACATGTTAAATGTTCTTTATGGGCACATTAATCCTTCATGTGTCTAAACTACGTCTAGCTGCCTACTGCTGCAGGAAAAGCATGTCTGTTGGTTGGTTTCTAAGGTGCTTTTAAAAAAATTTTTGGTTTTTAAGTGCTTCAAAAGCAGAAGGTAAGAGAGAGAACTGAGATTTAAATTACAGGGAAGCCTCATACTCAGGGAATCTTGGAATCAAGCGTTTATTTTTACATATGCTTTGTGGTTTTAGAAAATCTAGCTGCAGTTGTTATAGTTCTTTCAGTAGCATAACATTTCATAATCTGCTGCAACTGATATTTTTGGTTATTGAGTACTTGACTATGTCTGGATTTTACTATAGTGTAGAACTATGGGAAAAGATACTATCCCACTTACTAAAAAATACTTTTTTTCTGTTGCAGTGTAAGACCTGCTCAGAGCCAAAACAAATAACCAGTTCCTCTGCAATCTATAACAACCCCAACCTAATCAAACCAATTCCAGTGAAGCCTAGTGAAAATCAGCATCAACGAATATCTCAGCAAAGCAAGGTAAAATGTTTTGTGTGTTTTCTGTCTAGTGCTGCTGTAACCGAGTAGCCATGTAGGAATACTTGCTTGAGTCAGAAGGTCAGCGCATGAATTTAAGGTGCAACAACAGTAAGGAACTGTTTTAATTGAAAACTAATCTATTTTTATAAAAAGCCCCCAACCTCCGCCATGTGATGTGAAAGCATGTAAATTACAGGCATACTGTCCCGATGCAACAAAGAAATACTAGTCTTTCAATTTTCAGATGCTGCCTTGATCTCAAGCTGGACCGTGGTTTTTGTGTTCTTTTTCTTTAAGTAAATTCAGTTAATCTAAATAAAGAAAGGTCTCTTTATATATCTTCAAGCTAAATCACACCGCAAAATCCTAAAAACTGAATTCAGCTGTGACAAGAAGATGCACAAGAAGTGGCCCTACTTCACACAAGGGGAAGATTTCTGTCTCTTACTAATATTGTCCTGATGGCTGAAAGGGAAGATGCTCTTTCATGGTATTTAAAGTGAAGCCACAGCAATCTCTCGGATTCACTGGTTTTCTCCCACATTAGCAGCTTGACAACTGTCTTCTTGCCCTTCCTATGTGACAAAACTATTAAAAATTCTCTTGGGAGAAAAGAGCATAGCAGTTTTCTCATATTTTCATTGAATACTGATGGTTAAATATTGTCACCACTTAATGTAACTTATACATGAGGGAACTATATTTACTCTTTTCCTTTGTCTCCTCATAGAATGTGGATCCTGAACCACAGCACTTGTCTTTGACAGCACTGTTTGGAAAACAAGAAAAGCCAGATGTCTCAGAACCGCTTAATAAACAGCATCAAGAGAATCTTCCTGTTAGGCAGGGTGTGGTACGTTCACTGTCCTACGAAGAACCTACCAGGCATTCGCCCTCTGCAGAGAAACAGCTTTGCCCCGCCATTCAGAAGCTTATGGTGCGTGGGACAGACCTTCACCCGCTTGCGGAGTTTCCTGTGAACCGACTCTGTGAAAATGGCAATATCCACCCTGTGGGTGAGACTTTCACAGGACTCTTCCAACCTGTGACTTCTCATGGTATTGCAACATCTCATGTAGTTCAGGAAACTGCTGGCACTCAGAGCTTACTACAGAAATTACAGGGTCAGTCAGGATCAGTGAATAAAATGGATCCCAGTGCAACAGCATCTGTGAACTCGGCAGCTTCTGTGTTCCGCAGGACTCCTACTGCTGTTGGAGCACCAGCAGCACCAGTAAACAATATGAGCCAGCCACCTTTGGTATATTTCAATGGTTCCCTACCAGGCCAGACTTTAGAGTCTCAGACACTTGGTAAAGAACAATCCAAACTTCCTAGACAGGCACTTTCTCTCTCTGGCAATCAAGCAGCCAACTCTGGGGTGATTTCACCTCAAGAGTTACTGAAAAAACTCCAGATAGTGCAACAAGAACAACAGTTGCATGTATCCAACAGACCAACCTTGGCAGCTAAGTTTCCTGTTGTTACTCAGAATACCAATACACTGAAACCACTGGATTCCTGGATAGAAAAGGCACCAGCTACAGAAAAACAGAGCTCGCTCTTTCAGGTAAATGGGCAGCTTCAGAATTTAAGTAAATAAATAAAAATATAGCAGTCTTCTGAACTCTTAAGTTTTCTAAGCTTAATGTTTGTTTTGACCCCTGTATTCTTATTGCTATCTTACTGTGTATTGTACATAATTAATTTTCCAGGTGATAATTTAATAATATAAAGTAAATTATGATTTACCAAGCTGTGGTATTGTAAATACTGAAGGCTACATCTCTTGCACATCATTAATGACCAAAAATACTGCAGTCTTGGGTTTCTCCAGAGGCACTTTGGAAAGTCACCTAGTTTTCAGTTGCCATACTTGCTCTCCAGCTGTTGTGTGTAATTGCTAGCTACTGAGTGTAATATTTTGGGTTTAATAATTATTTTTTTCTTACAAAATTAGTCATTGCTTTCTCTGTGCAGGTATGCATCCCTTTGTATGCCAGTTGCTAAAAATGATAAAGGTGCTTAAAAGGTCACTTATTTTCTAACAGCAGTTTTTCTAAGTATTTGCATATTGCTGAATTAGTTATCTTGTACCATAACTCCTAGCTATTCATTAGCTATTTTTTTATTTGCTATGTATTATTTTGGAAAAAAAAAAAAAAAAAAAGGCATTGTGCCTGAATGCCTTCAAAAAACCCAAACCCCTTAATTCTGATGATTGTGACCCTAAAAGTCAGATTGGTGCCTTAAAAAATTCAGATGTCAAGAGTCTGTGTCTCTCACATTTCTCTGTTCTACAGAAAAGCATCATGTGCAATTACAAAATGTCCAATCCTGGACGATGACTGTCTTTGTTAGCAACTTCATTGTCTGTAGGATCTTCTACACTTGAATGTCTTTAAATGTCCTGTTTGGGAATGAGTGAGCATCTAATCACCTTTTAGCTTCCTTTATTGCGGACAGACTGTCCATAAGACTTGTGTTGTAGTGGAGTCTGACTTGCATTGTATTGGAGTCTAGAAGTTACTTATCCAAATGATAAAGCATTCACCTTTTCAGTGTAAAGTTCAAAAGCTGCTTTGCTACTTCAACTTCTTAAAAAGCTGAATGAAAGACTACAGAATACCTTCAGCATGCTTCAAGAAACCTCCTTATTCTAGGAAATTATCTTGCACATGAAGAGGCTGAAACAGTCATTTAACAATTAAGGGCCATATCTGTCACTAACACAGTGAGAGGTCAAGATTTCTAATTCCGTGGCAGAAGTCAGAGGAAGTTGAATTTGATATAGCAAATAGCCATCATTATTTTTATTCTTTTAATTAAACCAGCATGACTGTGTGTGAAAGAGTTTTTGGGGGAATTAGTCATTGAAATTATTCAGGATCAGTTGCTTACAGATGGTAATCTGACTTTCCAGTGGAGTACTAATGAATAAAAAGAGGATCCAGAGTCACAAAAATTTAGTTCTGTTTTCACTGGGAATGGAACTTGCCTGCTATAAATGAAAGAAATTGTCTGATTCACTGGCAAATGTACTGATAGCATGGAGACATAAGACATTCCTTCTTTGAAGGTGAAAGTGAAATGAGGCAAGGGCCACATTATAAGTCAGTATCCATTAAAAAAAAAAAAAGGCAAATATGCTGATATATTTTCAAATGAAAAGTCCATATTGATGCTGATATGGCTAATGACTTTGTGTATATTTGAAAAAGAAAATTATGCCAGCATTAGTTGCAATATGAAAAGGGAATTACTGAGGTCTGACATAATGCAATTTCGATAATTTTATGCTTGAGTACGAATAGAACAATAGCTTGAGAGAAGAAAAAAATCTTCATGCGACCAAGTCTCATTCACTGCAATTATTGCTGCAAGCTTGCCTGGGAAAAAAAAATTTAAAAAAACCCAAAACAAAAACAAAAAAACACCAAAAAAACCCCCAAAAATTAAAAAACCCACATACAACAAAAAAATCCCAACCAAAACAAAAAAACCCAACCACCACCAAGTAGACTCTCGGTCTCACTTTGCGTGGCTGTGAGCAAACCAAGTAGATTGAGACTGCTTAAGAGTGGCTTTACGGACTGACACTGACACAGCTGTTATCAAACAGCACTAGCTGCAGTTCTTCTGGCACATTTAGTATTGTTTATGAGACTTAATACATAGCATAAAAAATGGTGATGAAAGTAAGACTAATTATTGTTTAGGACACCTAAAGCTCTGCAATCGGGAAGGAATGGCCTCTTTTACATGCAGCAGATTGCCAAAAAAAGAAAAAAAAAGGGGGGGAAAGAAGGCTAAAAATGAAGGAATGAGTCTATATTTCTGCAGAATGCCATGAAGTAGCCACATGAAATATTCCTATTTTGAAAAAAAAAAATTGGAAGATACAAATTTGAAATAACTTTTAAAACCAACATTAATATTTTTATAATACCATCCTTGCTGTAGACCAAAGGCTTTAAGTGCTGCCATGCCTGCAGACAGACATTCGAGTGAAATTGAATTGGCACAAATATATCAGCACATGCTCATGCAAAATTGATCAGAGCAGATTCTGACAACAAATGCAGCAAAAGATTTGTTCTGTGTAATTAGTTGTCTTTCAGTATTGCCTCTTTTGCTATAACTCAGCATAAAGAAAAAGGAAATTCTAAAAAGTCTGACAGGAATCAAAAGGTATCTGGCCAATGTCTGTTGTTAGAAAAACCTTATTAAAGGAACACAGTAGATCCATCAGCAGCACTGAGAAAATGAAAGCAATAGTTTTTTTCACAATTGACACATTACAAGTCCAAGTTTAAATTGGCGTCTGCTGCATCTTCATATGATGTAAGAACTGTGATCTCCCACATGGAAAGGAAGAGACCCGTTACCAAAAAAAAAAAAAAAAAGAAAAAAGAAAAAAAATAGCAGAAGCTGAAGAATAATACTCAGAAGCATTCAGTCTGGTCTGTTGCCAGCCCTATTCTGTGAAGCATTCCTTATGCAGACAGTGAGTAACATGTACTTAAGATGCAATAAAAAAGCATTAATCTGCAGTGGGTTTTTAAGCATATGCTTAGTGTTAGGCATGAGTTATCCTGATACATGCATGCTTAAGTGTTTATGTTAATCAGAATTATGGTTTTAAAAGTGCTTACAGTAACCTTGACACAAATTTATCTTTTCTTCAGAAGGCCACTTATCTTGTAGCCCATTTTTCTCGTTTCTTGGAGCATTTTCCATCAAGAATGTGTTTTGTACATAGTGTTACATCTTCTGAATATGTACGTGGTACCTAGTATTTTTGGTGTGAGCATTGCACCATTACCTCTCAATTGTCCTGACTGCAGTTTCAGCAAGAGATTGTAAACATGCACAGGAGGAGTGCAATAGGTACATTAAACTTGTTTTGAAAAGTAATTTAAGATTCTGTGGTTAAACATCAATTAAAAAATTAAAAAAGACAAAGCAGCGTTAGCATTGTAGCCGGCTTTATTTTAACAATAACTGTCTTTAAAGTTCACAAACCATTCTTGGATTCAATTTCTCGTTTAAGTAATGCCACTAAAAACAGTTAGAGGCCCACAGCACCCACGGGGTGCTGATTTTCCAGAGGAAGGAGCACTTGATGCACATGGGATTCTGCATGCGTAGGAAGCAACAGAGGGTGCCAGTTTGCATTACAGGAGATCCAATTCATTCCTTAGTTCATGGTGCTACGTGAATTTGCCAGCTATCATGTCATCTAGCTGCCAGCAGCCACGCAGATAACTTGGTGAGCATTTGTGCTTCGGAGAAGGAATACTATATGCTACAAGGGTTATTTGGCACATTTTTTCGTTGTTCTTTCTTCATTGTTGCACAAGTGATGGTAGACTCCTACTCTCTTATTAATGACTAAGAGATTTAAGTGGTGACTGGTAAAGCTGGAGATAATTCACTAGAGGCTGGATGAGCAAGCAACTCAGGTTAGATTCTGTGGGAAAGAAAGTTGATCAACGCCATTTTGGAAGGGCTGTTACGTCTTGTGAGAAATTACTCAAAGCTAAAAGATTGGCCCAAAGCCTGTTATGTCCCTACAGGGGATTTTTAGTGCTTTCAGCAAAAGTATGGTGCTATAGGAATTGCCCTAGTAATGGCAGGATCAACGTCACATTTTCTGGTGGGCGTCAGTTGTCCCCATGACTGAACGTGATCTGAACTAAATCTAAAATGAAAATTTGCCTTTATGTTTAAAAACTAAAATGTTGTTTATGTAAAAGTTTGTTAAATGGCAGAAGCTACTAGCAAAAGATACATTTTAATGTTTACATACAGAAACAAATGCTGTGCACTGAAAAAATGATTAGCGTATTTTATGTTCTTCTGACACAAATATTTTAAGTTCTGGGGTAACCTGTAGGTGTTAGCTGTGTCACCAGTAGGTGGCAATATTGTTTATTCCATATAGCTTCCGTACGCGTGGCAAGTCTTACCAAAAAGCCATTTCTATCCAGGGAAAAAAAATTATTTTTCATATGTCTTTTAAACCACAACATTATACATGTTTGACAGTAGCAACTGTATGTTATTAAGAGCACAGTTTGTCTCAAGTTTTGTTTATTTGCCTTGGACTCTAGAGAGAAACGTCTTTTGATTTTGAAGGACGTGTCATTTAGGTCTTTGACATAGTCTGTCATAGATCCAGCTATATTAGTGGGACAGTTTATCTCCTCCAGCTGTTCACGAACATCCCTTTGTTGGAGGTTCCCGCCCTTGAAGAGCAGTTTGTATGTGCATTGTTTAAATCACATCAGGAAGAATCATCTGGTTTAAGCAAACCCTGACAGTTTTTCTTGAGGTAAATTACAGAGAAGTTACTTCAGCTGCATGGATGAGTAGAGCAGAAGCATTGTGATAAGTGTCTGGAGGTAGTCAATCTTCCACAGGCAGGAGAACAATCTTCTCACTTAAGGGAGAACACCTGTGCACAGTCTGAAGCTCTTGCTCCACAGAGGGGTGTCATTTTGGACTTACATTGGGTTTCTTCTCAAGTGAACAATGTTTTTCAAGCATAGGTGCACAAACATATGCACTACCTTACTGTTTGAAGCAAATGTACAATGAGTTAGGAATACCTTAACTCATTTAGGAGCTTGTAACACAGACCTGATGATTGCTGTTATGATTACACATAATGGTGTAGGAAAAAAGCTGTAGGTCAAGAGTTTCGTTTTTAAGTAGTACTCTCTATTTGAAAAACAGAAGCAATATTTACCTAAAATATGAGCTGGGAGATTTTTGCATTCGGTGCATATTGTAAGCTTTCTTATATCTGTGAGTCTTTCCTGACCCCTAGTCTTTCTGCTTCCTTAATTTTAGTGTAAAACAGCATGAGATCTCAGTCCCCCTCGTTTCTCTCTATTTCTCTTTGCATTTAGTCTCACTAACATTGTTCAGAAATGTCTTGGGTAGTATAATCATAAGATAAAGACAACCTACAGAGTTATGAAACTTATTTAATATTAACCTACATTGTTCTGCATACCTAGGAGATAACCCTCAGTTTTATTTTCTTAATTTTTCTTCAAAATTGAAATGTAACCCAGGACACAGAGTGAAGTGATTCAGTAGCCTTTCACCTTCATACAGGAGCAATAAATCATGCTCCAGTCCAAAAGAGAGGAGTTTTGGTGAGCTCTTATCAATTCCTTTGTATGTTCTGTTCTTTGAAAAAAAGGTCAGATACTTGAATAGCGAGGAGATAGCTGATAAGGAGGGTTAAGATTTATTACTAGAATTACCTGGAGAGAACTCTAATATCTGCAAACTGAGTGAATAGATTTTCCATTATGTTGTGTCTTATATCTGATAGTATTTGCTAGTTCTGCATGTTTTACAGTTCCAAGATGCATTGCAAAATTTAAAAGTAAAAATTATTTGTGATACAGGGGGGTTTAAAGTTAAAAGGGATCGAAAGAATAACTAATTGAGAATAGCTGTTCGCTGCTTGCGAAGACAGGATGAGAGGATCAAAGCTGTGATAATGGGGGAGGAACTGCTAACCCAAACGAGAGGAGAGTATACACCACCTGCAAGGCCGCGGAGATAGGGAGCCTCTAAACAAGATGGGGACCAGCCTGGTTCTTTGGACTGAGACCAAGAGACCAGGAGGTGAGAAGTTCAACTCCGATGAAGACTCATTTACTTCATCCTGTAGACCACCGGATGACCACCAGGGAGCACTACGCAGGCGCAGAAGGACTCTTTAGCTAATTATAATACGAAGCGGGGCTAGGCGGGGCTGGGTAATTAATATGAATAGATGGATTACGAAACTTAATGCATATGCAACATTTTGAGGAATAAATAGAGGGATAGGTTTTGCGAAAAGGTACGCATGTCTTTGGTGGAGCTATCCCCCATGCGTCTCAGCGCTGAATAAACTACATACCTACTTTACAACTTTCACGAGTTGTGGAGTCTTTCCGCTTCATTTGCAGGTTGGCTTGGATATGATACTGAGAGAACTTGCAGAACTACTGCAGCATCAAGGTTTTCCTTCCCTTTGGAGGGCCTTTTTGATTTTGTCCGATGAGTGTTGGTTAGGAGTCGCTTCTGTTTCTGACAATGCCACCAGCTCACTCTTTAGATAAATCACTTAATGTCTCTCTTCTTTCCCTTCCCCTTATGTAAAATGAGGATAAAAAAGTGTACATATATATTTATGAAGTAATTTGGAAGTTGTAATTGGAAAATACTTGCCCTTTAACAGTGATATTTGCATGTGAGTATATTCTCAAAGATTAATCTTAATGACTTACTATGCCTATGTGGAAGACTTTACAGCTGCCTTCTGTAAGAGTGCTGATATTTAATAGTAGCCTGATTTCTGTAATAAAATGCTCTTGTCCTAAGATCATTTGCCAGTTAGACTATCAGTAAGATAGACTTAATCACAGTTGAATCTATTGCTGCAATCTCAAAATGGATGGAAGATCTTTTAATCTGGAAATAGATCATACAGGTGGTGATTTCACGTAACTGTATTGATCTCCAGCAGTCTCTGCACCTGTTGACAATCAGTCTGCAGTTTTCATCATCTTTATTCCCATAGAATTAAGGAGATAGGTTTAACTGATGACTTTATTTTTCTGTGGACAGGTAATCTCCCCTCGTCGCATCCCTCCTCGCCCCATTCCTGCCACTGTGACTCCTACCTTGTTGATGTCCCCAATGGTGTTCACTCAGTCCACACCTGCTCCACCAAAAGCAAATGAAAGTGGGCGGTTAACAGCAGCAAACCAAGAACCTGCTGCTAGCTCAGCTGGCCTTCTCCTGCCACTGCAAACCCCAGAGCCATCTGTGGTTAGCAGCAGCTCAATGACAAAGATGCAGCTGCAGGAAACACTTCTACACCTGATCCAGGTAAAGCGCCAAGAATTCTCCTACGTTGCTTAAAATTACAGTTCCCATTTTGATATAAGCACCCTATAATTGGTTGCATCCATCTGTCTAGAGGCTAAATGAGTAATTAGAACATATGATGGAAGTTGTGCTACTTACGGCTGCATGTTAACGGAGCACTGTGGCATAGACCACGGATCTCCTTGCACACTGCTGGGCTTAACTGCATTTTGATTAACGCATCTGGTTTTAGGTTTGGGAAAGATAATACATTTGATGGAAAAGAACAAAGATGACTGAAAACTTCCTAAGGTCAGCCTGTGACCCAGAGGGATATCTGTTATATTTTTAGCAAAGGATAAATAATGGGTGATTATCCTAACTGCCAAATATTTCAGAGATGCATGTTAGCAGTAAGAGGAATTCAGATGGGAAATTAAAATTGCAGGATGAGTGTAAGCAACTTCAAAATATGGGTTAGATAACCTAAAAGTATACTAGTTCAGTCTGTTCAGTGTAATTCTTTAGTTCAAACGCTAAAATCCTCTTGCTGCAGTTATTCAGGTTTAAATGTGACAAAGCATTAACAACATTCTGTGTGAGATGATTGTTTACTGCTCTGGGATGATGTGAGTGATTATGAATACTTTTTCTTTACCTTGCTATGTGATGAATATCTGAAGAGTAGAGGTTGAGGAGAGGTTTTGTAACCAAAGACCTGGCTATAAAGCTTAAAGAATAGAGACACAGGTTTAAGGGTCCAATTTGTAGGCCAAAACTATGTGCCTGTACAGCTTTGGAATAAAAATAAAAGTAATAATTGGAATGTTGAAGTTACTCACTTAAAGTGTGATTTAAATTACAGACCCAGAAAGAAAATAGTATCTTTAACAAATTAGAATATTTTCTCTTTTTTCCTGTATTCTTAGTTTGGTATTAAAAAATTAAAACATCCCATTGTCCTGTCTTTACATACTGAGTATGTGGACAGTAGGAAAACCATATATGAAGTTAAAAAGGAAACTAGTCAAGGAAAATTTGATTTTACCCTTGGAAACAGTACACGTATATTTGACCCTGCCATTCTTGGTGGTAGTTAGGATTAACAGTTACCTGAAAATTGCTGCCAATTTCTTACCTGTTACTTTCCATTATATAAAAGTGCAATCTCAAATGCTCCTGATTTTCCTCAAATAGTATCTTGATTTAATTATCTTCATAAATCTATGTGAGATACTTAGGACATTGTTTCTTAATGTGGGTTGATGCATTCTTGCAAAGTGATCTTCAGAAGGAAGAAGTTAAACAAGCATCAGAGCAAAAGGAGCAGCATCACTTTAGGGGCACTGAGTCTAAAAGAGCTAAAGAAGATGCAAGGATTTGCCCAGGTAGGATTTAGTATAGGATTAAAACCCAGGGTGTTTCACTGTTCCTTCAGACATGCTTGGAATTATCACTGACCTAGTGGAGGAGACTACTTAAGGAAATCGCTAGGTAAATGAGGGCAGAGGGAAGAAATTACAGGATTGTATTGTCAGCATGATATCATTCAAGAATAGTGGACTTGAGTTAAATCCCCTGTGAGTTTGGAAAATCTGCTTTGCGTGTACTCATTACTACTTACAGAGATAGAGTCATGTTTGCTGCAGTGAAGTTTGTATTCACATCCAGTTCTTCTAAGGTTATTAACGAGTCTTGGAGATAATACGTGTTTTTGGTAAAGGAAATAGCCTTCCCGTTGCTCCGGTTATTAACGAGTCTTGGAGATAATACGTATTTTTGGTAAAGGAAATAGCCTTCCCATTGCTCACTTTTTAAAATAGGATAAGGCTGAAAAGTATTTCATTCATGAAATGGAAAAAACTTATAATATCTTTACTCAACGACACCTATTGTGCACTAACAATTACCTGTTTTGTTTTTCAGAATGATGACAACTTTTTAAATATTATTTATGAAGCATATCTCTTCAGTGTGAAAAAGGCAGCAATGAAAAAGTGTATGTGAAAGATGATTTTGAAATGCAATTTCTATTGCTTCCTGAACTACAGAAAAAAAAGAGTGTGAATTTTTCAAGTACGTTTACATTCAAAGAAATGGTCTTAGGCATTTTGCATACACATAGATTTTGCTTGTTGGCAAGTACCTGCTGTACTGAGAAAGAAGTGAGTGGAAACGGATTGTGCCTTTAGGGAGGGGAGCATCACAATGCTGAAGACTTAATCACAAAATATCTTAAATTATTTTTCTTATATTGATCCATCCCTAGAATTGGTTTCCCTGCATAAGGACTCAGTTCTCAGAACTCAGTTTACTTTTTAACTTGCAGTGTGGTTATTCACTGACTAGGTATTTGTCATGGATTTTCTCTGAGAGACGTCATATGGAACTGTCGCGATGAACGTGCCCATCTCTGACCACATGGTGGCAATGTTGGACTATTTTTAGGAACGTGAAAATCGGGTGAAATCTTGGAAGGAAAAATCTTGGGAAGACTGATCTATCATCGTACTTAGTTGTCTGAAAAGCAATTTAGATGCAATGTCATGACTTTCCCGAAATTTTTTGTAGAAAAAATCTTTTTCTATTTTAACAAGAATATTTTTAGCTAGCTATAGAAATGGGACTCTGCAGGTGTCTTGAAGAACTGGGGGGGGGAGGGTTTGTTTGTGAATGTATTTGCTATCAGCGTAGCTCTGGGGTGGCACCGGATTCGTGTTTCTATTATTCCAGATCCAATTTCCATTATTATAAGCAATGTACAAGTTTGTTAAGGGGAAGGCTACCTGGTGTAAAAGTCCTGATATTTTTTTTTTTTAGTGTGTTCCTGAAACACAGTGATTTCACTGATCCATTTCTAAAGAAAATAAAATTGATAATCCCTACTACGTGTTGATTTTATTTTCTTGTACAATGGACTATGTATTTAGAATTGTTGGGTCATTTGTATTTGTAGGACTTTAAAATGTTTTTACACTTGGCAGAAGACACACAAGGTTTTAAATCAATCGGAATAAATGACTCTAAATAAATTTTATGTATATTTTTATTAGCATGTGCTGGCTGCTGAAGTGCCATTCTACTACAGTTTAGGAACCCAGTGTTCTTGCTGAGGAGGCATTTCTATTGTGGGTGGAGAGAACCCAATCTGTAATCCATAAATGAGTATACACTCTTCTTTACTATAGGAATTGATGTAGGCACAACTCAATATCCTCATCTGTGAAGGTTCTTCAGTGTAAATTAGGATGCAGGTTTCAATTAGTATGGCTGTAATGATTCAAGCAGTTGTCCCCACCCCCATACGTCTGGCCTTTCTCTAGTGTATGAGTGTGATTTGGGGAGACAAGGAGGGGGGATTTGCTCACATTCCTTGGGAAAGGCTCTAAATCAATATTTTTAAAAAGTCAAGAGCTACTTCATATACAAATGAATAACCCTGAGAGACTTGTGTCTACAAAACTGCTAGACTTTTCCTACACTAAGTAGCTTGTAGAGAGCAAGTTGTGTTCTAGTTCCATTTTGTTATCAAATTGGTTATGTTTCTTGCAGATTCAGTGAAAAGAACATGTTGAGCAGATACTAGGAAGGGCAAACTTTAAAGATAGCAAGTCCTAATTCTAATCCTGTAGCCATAATAATATATGTAGCCATTATAATTTATGGGATTCTACTGAGTTAATTGTGTTATTTCTGAATGAACTGGTGTGGAAGAAATTGGAATCTACACAAAAGAGTTAGTATGAAGCTAAATACATGCATAATTGGTGTCTAAAATGCTGGATTATCTGAGAGTGCAATTTAAAGATGATTGGGACACATAGTTAAGACCTCATTTGACATACAGAACTTCTGTAATTAGTGGGTAAAAATAATCCTTAAGCATCTCAAGCTGTGTTTGTGATAGGTTTTCTAGTCATGGGGGAAACATTTTTATTTACAAAAAAGGCAAGTATAAATTTTTAAAACATCCTTATTTATTGCTTTTCAGAGTAACATATCATTTACAAAAATTAAAGGTACTTTTTTAAAAACAACTTCTGTTAACTCTTGATGCTTATGACAACAGTAGTATTAGCACGATGATTGACAAGTTGAGGTTTATCTTAAAGCAGACAAGGATAGAGCTAATTCAGGGTTTCTTCTCACTGCCCTCTCTTCTGGTTACATCTACACCAAGTGATACTGACAGAGTTGGATTTCTCTCACGGTGTCATGCTATAAGGGATTTCTGGGATTGTTCAGGTGTCATAACCTGCCTTTTGTGGAGCCAAGAAAAGAAGGGTAGTTGCTAAAGGAAAAGAGGTGCTGTTTTAGCTGACTTGCATGCTTACCAAGAGCAACAGAAGTAAGGAGACAGAACAGACTCAGAGAGAAACTGATTTTATGACAATGAACAGAAGAGGGAAATTAGAACTCAAGTTCCCCTATTTTATTTTATTTTTTAAGACACTGTTAGAACTAGGGAGCCCTTAAGCTAGCAAGGCCTTTGGAGAGGACAAGGCCACAGCAGTGAGGATTGCCTTTCTTTGGGCCTTTTTGTTTTGTTTTACTCTGTCCCAGCTGAAACCAGGGCAGACAGAAAACAGAAAAAAATCAGAAGGTATGTAAGGATCACATTAACTCCACTTTAGATGCTTCCACGGCATGTATGTGTAATATTTTTTTATTGTCTGTGTATTTCTTAATATACTGCTGGGTTTGGGTTGTGGGTTTGTTGTTTTGTTTTTTTTTTTTCTCTTACAGTAGAATAAATACTTAGTAAATTGGGGCTTAGCAAGACTTCCAGAAGTTGCAGCAGTGCTTTATGCATTAATCCTGGTGTCAGCATTGAATTGGTATTAGTTTTCAGTGTAGTTCCACTTAACTACTGTCCGCTTCCTTAGAAAATTACACACCTATTAAACTGGAGTGAGAAGACAAGGAGTGGAAAGTTAAGTGAAATACTGAAGCATAATCTCTGTCAGTATTTATCATGGAAATCCATAATATTCAGTGAAGGCATCCAAATATTTCCTCAGGCCCTTCTCACAGAAAATTCAAATCCTTAATCTGATTTTTATTCATTAGCGCTCTGTTGCTCCTCTATTTACTCCTTGTTGCTGTAGCTGCAAAGGGGATAATTAAAATTGTACAGCAAAGTAAAATTTTCCAGGAGCAGGATGCAGCTGAATAGGCAGGATGCTTCGTCTCCTCTGACAGCCTATTCAGAACATGAGCTTTGAATTTCAGTCATGAAAGTGGTGAGTATTCTAGATATCTTTGTCCCTTTAGGATATTAAAGTCATAGCTTAATATTTTAACAAACTTGGAGATCTTTGCTGAGGAAAAGGCAAAACTAAAAGACTTCTTCAGTAAGCATTTGAGGCTTGAATGTAGAAAATGTTATGAGATGGCAGAGGGATTCCTGAAACCTAGAAAAAGGCAAAATTCTAGTCCTGGAGATGAGTAATGCATTGAAAAATTAATCCTCCGTTAACCTACAGTAAACTTTACTGCTAATCCTAAGGACTTTTAAGAGACTCTTACAAGTCCTTGCCTTTTCTAAACTGCTGTGGATATCTCTAACAAGCTTGTTCTGGCCTCTAGACATAAATCTGTGCACAGCTGAGTTGGGAGTATAGGAGAAGGGAGCTTGGCATATACAAACAGGAGGAGGAAAATGTGGTTCTGCAGAACACTGAAGAAACAAAGGCTGAAGGTTTTTAAACACTTTAAGCTGGCTTTACTGCCGAAGCGGCAGCCCGTCCCCACCACCCACTCCTAGCTGCTCATCCCTGCTCCCACACCAGTCTTTCCTTCTTTTTTCCTTTATTTTTCTCCTGTTTTATTTTTATTAAGATGGCTACATGGTAAAATGTATTGCAGCAGAATTAGTCCAGGTTAAGACTCCCTCCTCGGTTTTAACCTAGACGAGTTCAGCGGGCACCAGCCTGGGCGTCTGTGTCAGATAGTGGTGTGCAGCCACAGGGAGAAGCAGGTGGGATGTGGGGAGAGGAAAGTGGGGCAGGAGACTTGAGCTGCAGTACTGCCTTAAACAGACTTGAAGCGTTTGTGAGACTGTGGTCTAAAGGCCTTTGCCTCTTCGCTGACATTAAGACTCGGAAGATGCCACACAGATCAAAAACGTGAGTTCATTGCTACCCCCTACCTTGGCTCTGTGTGGAAATCCATGAAGGTGTTTGTAGATACCTCCACAAAGGGTAAGTACTGTTGGTGAGCCTAATCTCTCCAGGCTCTTTGCAGAGCCAGTGGAAAGACAGGATCCTCTTGAGGGTGAGTCTCAGTACAAACCTAATTTAGCCTGAGAGATTAGATTGGGCTAAAGTTAGTCTTTGCAAACACCTTCCCCACCACCACCATCTTGTACCAAACAAGTACTGTCATCAGAGTCAGCCCCTACCTTTTCTCACAGTACAGCAGATATTTGGGTGAATTTTCCTTTCCTTTTTTTTTTTTTTTTTTTTTAATTTTT